ATGCTTTATATAATGTATTAAATAATAAGCCACACTTGGTAGAGTGTCTATCTGTCCACAGCCATAAACCATACTTTTACAGCCACCATGACTAATTTAGTACAACATGTGAAGCCAAAAGTAAACAAATAACTTTGTGATGTGTGATATATTGATTGTTACAGTGTTTTTTTAATGGAGTTTATTATAGTGTTCACACATTCATTGGCATTTAGCCAAGAGCTCTAAGAAATGGCATTTGGGTTATTGGTTTTAATATTGCTAATACAGCTTTCTCAATTGAAACCTTCAACTTTTACCATCTTGATAGAACATGCCAGTATTACTAATGCACAGGACACAATCAAAATAATTTTTTTCAGGTTACTGCATCTCATAGTCTAGGCTTATACATTATATTATTAACATATTGGGCACCTGTCCATTTTCCTGTTGATTTGTGTCTCTGTGTTTTAAGTGGCTAAAAACAAATATAATTCTTGTCATAGTTTTATTCTGAAAAGAGAATAGTAGGAGATTCCCCCCAACATGAAAGTACTTGTTTTACTTCTTAAGCAGGAGTTGCAGTTGGCCAAAGTTTTAAGGCATTCCATGAGTTACAGGAGTGAGTTGGAGAAAGAATCTGGGATTGAGGAATTAAATCAAATGCTTGTTTATTTGTTTGTTTGTTTTGCCATTAGCTGAAAGCAGCTTGGATGCATTGCATTGAACTACTGTCTTGGTACAAATGATCTAAAAATAAGGAAATATGAACAATTGATAATCTGGTAATCTCAAACAGTAATGAGAGTATTGAACATGCCATCAAGAAAGTACGATCTCTAGCTAATGAGAAATCTTACCTGCCATGCATGAGAAAAATGTGCTACCAAGATCTTTTCTCTTTTTGAAGGGATTCCAAAATATTGTTTTGAAATGAAATGAAACATATTGAGATTTTGTTTTTAATATTAAAAATTTAATATTATTAAATATTAATATTTAATAATGTTAAATACTATTATATTTGGTGGCTTCCATTTTTAATTTTTAATTTATATTATTTATAATATATTATTATATTTGGTGGTTTCCAGTTTTTATTTTATATTTATATTATTTATAATATATTATTATAATATATTATTATATTTGATGGCTTCCAGTTTTTATTTTATATTTATATTGCAACAGTTTTGAGATATTTTATTCTAGCCTGAAGTAGAGAGGATCTATTGAGTATAACCAAATTAGTGGTTGTAATTGAAATGAAATCTCTAGCTGCCTTTCCTATACTGATACTCTCCAGATTATGTTCAACTAAAACGATGTAATTCCCAAACATGAGTGTGAATTATGAGACCTGTCATCAAACACTTCCAGAGATCCCAAGTTAGGGAAAGAAGTTGTATATTGAATCCAAACATGCTTTTTCATAAGTCGATATTAACATTTCAATGGCATTTACTTACTTTTCTAGAAATTATATTTGGAATTGCAGCCTAATGCTGGGGTACAGTGATTTCCAATTTTCCTCCAGAGAGTGACCACACATCATACCAAACCATTATTTGCTTAATTGGATACCAGCTTGAATGAATTGACCTGGTTTACGTAATATACTAAGGTATAAAGCATATTCTACAATTAGCAACAAGAGGATTCAGACAATACACTAAGGCAAATCCAAGTAAACCGTATTAATATTTAGCGCGAATGGTGAGCCAGAAGAATCTGTGCACATTTTCCCCAAAACTGTACAACAATACAAGGAAAACTTGGTAAATGTAGAGCAGTGTGACTAGCAATTCTCTGCCATAGTTGATACCTTTGTTCTGGAATGTTTAATAAGCTTCTGAGGAGCTCCAAACTTTTCAAACAGAATCCAAAACCCTGCTCTAATAGAAACATTTCCATGGTATATTTAATGCAGTAAATTGATAAATGCTTCCTTATTCTTCCTCCAATTAATCAGCACGTCATCTCTGTATAATATTTCTCAAAGATCTGAGTATATAAATATAGTATCTACATGGCCATTCCTTTCATTAAGCAGGACTTAGCTACACATCAGGAGGAGTGAATTTATCCACTTCTTTAATAGCTAATATTAAGGAAGTAGATATACAGATAGTCCTTGACTTACAACAGTTCATTTAGTGACTGTTCAAAGTTACAACGTCACTGAAAAAAGTGACTTACGACCATTTTTCAGACTTATGCCCGTTGCAGAATCCCCAGGATCATGAGATTTACATTCAGATGCTTGTCAATTGATTCACATTTATGACGGTTGCAATGTCTCGGGGTCATGTGATTCCCTTATGCGACTTTCTGATAAGCAAGTCAATAGGAAAATCAGATTCACTTAACAACCGGGTTACTAATTTAACAACTGCAATGATTCACTTAACAAATGTGGCAAGAAAAATCGTAAAATGGGGCAAAACTCACTTAACAAAGTTCTCACTTAGCAACATAAATTTTGGGCTCAATTGTGGTCATACATTGAGGACCACCTATAGTGCCCTCCCTTTTGCTGCAACTCTCTTTTGTATACTGTGGATTGCTGAGGTTTCCCTAGGCTGTGCCTGGAGAAAGTTCTGGTTTGGATCTTCATGCCAGGTAGAGTGCAGAATTATTTTTCTGGAAACGATAGATCTTGTATGTGTAATTATGACAAATGTGCAGTATTGTGCAGGATACCTGGACAAGTGGATTTAGGATTTCAGCATATAAAACCAAAGACGGAGATTGTTTGTTTGTATCCTGCCTTTATTATTTTTACAAATGACTCAAGGCACCGAACATACCTAATACTCCTTCCTCCTTCTGTTTTCCCCAGAGCAACAATCCTGTGAGGTGGGTTGGGCTGAGAGTAACTGGCCCAAGGTCACCTAACTGGCTTTCTGGCTAAGGCGGGATTTGAACTCACAGTCTCACAGTTTCTAGGCTGGGGCCTTAACCAAGAGACCAAACTGACCAGGGGTAAAATGCTCCTGGTTCGGACCAGATCGCCTGATCTGGTAGTGATGGAGGCAGATGGTTTGGAGAACCAGTAGCAAAAATCCCTCCCCCCCACTCATTGCCCAGATGAGCCGCACAATCATCAGAGGCTTTTTTTTAATTTTTAAAAGATTTTTTTTCTACAACCTCTTTGGCCGAAAAAATGCTTTTAAAAGTAAAAGAAAACAAGCCTCTGATGATCGCGCAGCTTTGCTGGGATCATTAGAGGTTTTTAAAAGCATTTTTTCTACAACCTCTTCGGCCAAAGAGGTTATAGAAAAAAGGTTTTTAAAAGGAAAAAAAGTCTCTGCCGATCAGGCTAGTCAGCTGGGATCATCAGAGGCTTTAAAAAAAAAGCTTCTGCCAATCAGGCAACTCAGCTGGGATCGTCAGAGGCTTTTAAAAGCAGTTTTTACAACCTCTTTGGCTGAAGAGGTTGTAGAAAAAATGGTTTTAAAAGTAAAAAAAAAAAAAAAGTTGGCCACAGCCACTCAGTCATATTACACCCCCCACCCCCAAGCTATGCCCACAGAACCGGTAGTAACAAATTTTACATTTCACCACTGAAACTGACCCAAAGACCCAAAAGTTACATTTGTCGTGGTAAGATTCTATATTCTGACATTAGTAAACTTTGCCCCATTTTATTTGCACATTTGTACAATTCATAGAAATATTATGACTGTTGCAAAAATGTGTGCATTACTATTGAAGAAAAACATATGACTAAATAACAGACGGTCTCTCTCTCTTCCCTTTTCTTTTTTTACTAAAGCTTATCTACCGCAACAGCTGTTGTAATTATTTGCATCATAAATAGCAAGTATATAAAGTTGTACCTTCCTTGAGAAGATAACTTATAAGAAATTTATAATTGGAACTGTTCTCCAATTAAATAATTCTAATTCTTCAACCACCTGCCTTTGAAGAGATTAACTGATCAATTGACTACATGTGAATAATAAATGTGCAAGTTATTTAAATGTCAGTATAGTTCCTTGTTAAGTTATTAACCGCTCTGGCTCAATTTAGGATTTCTGCCTAAATGACAAACAAGATCATCTACAGTTCAGTCAACAGAAAGCTATCACTTATTGTTGGAAGGAAATAAAATGACAATTGTTAATTAGTTCTTTCTGATTCTTTGTTACGTTGATGAGGCAGCCAGCGGTGTAAAAAATTCAGAACCAGTCAACCTCACCTATGTAAAGTGACATTTCATTGATTAAAAAATTCAGACTTCCAGTTAATAATCATCTGCTAGAGAGCATCAATCAATTTGACAGTCTCCTTTTACTATAAGCCAGGTACTCCTGACTACAATTCCCACTGAGTAAACTGAGTGTGATTTACTGAAATTATATTAACTATCTAAAGAGTACCTGGTTTGAATCCTAACCCTGACATAAGCATTATCAGAACTTTGCAAAACAATTTAGATGACTGAATATATCATTTAGGGATAGGAATAAGAGATTATTCTTTGCTGGTAGTGGAGATTTTGGTGGTAGTAACCCAGGGGTGAAATGCGCCCGATCCGGTAGCGATGGAGGCGATGGTTCGGAGAACCAGTAGCAAAAATCCCTGCCCCCCCCATTGCCCGCACAATCATCAGAGGCTTTTTTTTTAGTTTTTAAAAGCATTTTTTCTACAACCTCTTTGGCCGAAAAAAATGCTTTTAAAAGTTAAAAAAAAAAAGCCTCTGATGATTGCGTGGCTCAGCTGGGATCATCAGAGGCTTTTAAAAGCATTTTTTTCTACAACCTCTTCGGCTGAAGAGGTTATAGAAAAAATGTTTTTAAAAGGAAAAAAAAGCCTCTGCTGATCAGGAAAGTCAGCTGGGATCGTCAGAGGCTTTAAAAGCATTTTTTTTACAACCTCTTCAGCCGAAGAGGTTGTAGAAAAAATAGTTTTAAAAGTAAAAAAAAAAAAAAAGTTGGCCACGCCCACTCAGTCATATTACAAGCCACACCCACAGAACCGGTAGTAACAAATTTTACATTTCACCACTGTAGTAACCTCTCTCTTCATATTTCATACTTATTACTGAATCCAAGTAATGTCATGTCCATTCAGTTCTTGCTGATGTAATGGGTTACCTTTAGATGTCCCTCCTGGGTGCTGTTCTTTTGTTTTATTGCATTTTGGTTCCTGTGTTTATCTATCAGCATTAGCTAGACCCTGAGGCCAAATGATATCGTTAAAATGGCCATATTTCCTTTTTTCAGAGAAGCAGAACATCTGGAATTCTAGAATACACACAAGGAGAAAAATAGACATTTGCAAAATTTTGCAAAAAAACCCCCAACAACAACACAACACCAAACACACGTTATGAAGTGGGAAAGTACGAAACGCCATCATGATGCGCGCACAGAAATTTCGTAAACAGCGCTTAACAGTTCGGTACGTTTAAGACAGCAATTGCATTTAGAAAATAGTTTTAGCTTCAAACGTGCCAAGGGAACCCAGATGAAGTTAGTGAATAGAATGCTTTTTAATAATTGATCATTCTGTAAAATGATGTGGACTGTCACATAAATAATCGAAAGCTGATTCAAGAAAGGTGCTTTTTTAAAAGCAATTGGCCTTTAAGAAAGTCCAGCTGCCTTTAAAAAGAAGGCAACAATGGGACAACTTTGGGCCTGGATGACTGAGAATCTCCATAGACAATGATTCAAGAAACTATTGTAAACTTTTTATAAAAGAAGAAGTTTACATAAGTACAAAGAGTTTAATTTTATATTTTACATCAGAGAGAATAAAACAAGGAATGTTTGCTGGATGTGAAAAGAATTTAGTCATTTTTAATACACTTTATATTGTACTGCAGTTGTATATTTCATGATAGTAGCCCATCATATTCCCTTCTTCTGGTTTGATGCCCATAGAAAATATTTGTATGTAATTAATCCTGACAACCCTTGCCAACAGTGTCTATATGTTTATGTAAGTGCCACTGGATGTACAGGACATGTACTGTATTATTCTATATATGGAGAACTAAATTTGTTTGCAGTATTATGCCAAGGGCAGTTTCTGAGATCACGTACTCTGGATAAATGGAAAAAAAGAGAAAGAGAAGAAAAAAGCATCACCATTCAGATATATCATTTGTTAAGGAACTATATTAACTAAACATCATTACTTAGCGCATACTTAATGGGAGTAGTACACGATTGCTTTACTCAGTGGCAAATATGGGTTAAGAAAAATGGTAAGAAAACCACTCCTTATTTATTGGTGCAGCCGAGTAAGATATCTGTTCCTAGAATCCCTCCTGTGAAATATCTGGCATTTATCATTCAAGGTTACTTCCAAAGCTCTTGTGCAAAATGAATTCTTTATTATTTTATTTACTCTTCCCAATAGCATTTCTGTAGAATTGGCTTTTGATTCTCACCTTTCAAATTGCACACATTAGTGGATAGTGATTCCCTTTGTATATTCTGTAGCAGATAGATTAATCTTACAACAGAACGAATGGAAAGTAAGCATACAGTAATAGGAGGTGCAAGCTGCATGGAACAGAGTGAAAATAATTATACTACAGAGTGTCACAGAAATCTGTAGATGTATGCTATTGGAAAATATTTTTAAAATGCTTTGGTGGAATGATAAAGTGAAAGAGGCTGTGAATGAGATTTATAATCATCTAAAAAAAATTGCTGAAAAAATAGGGATGAAATATGTTGTAAAATACATGTAAGTTTAAAAAAATAAGAGTCAAAGAGAGCAAGAGGCAAATAACATTAAAAGAATTGTTTGAGAAGGTGGTGAAGAGAACTATAATGTGGCTGTTTGATTTGTTTAATATATGAGTTTAAGTCTGCATCTTTACCTGATTGTTGTAAGAAAAGTGTTATTGTTCTCTTATACAAAAGAAAGGTTGCATATTGTATATTTGTTGATTTAGAGAAAGGTATGATAGAATGAATAATGAACAGCATGGTGGCCTAGTGGTGAAGATGCTAGCCTCCCACTTGGAAGGTTGAGAGTTAGATCCTAGATAGCGGCAGTTGTTTCTCTCAGGGAGAAAAGAGAATATATCTGCTGCGAACTCCACATAGGTGTCAGGAAGGGCATCTGGCCAGTATATGTCCAGCTCATCATGACCCCACCCGAATCAAGAGATTACAGGGTCATAACAAGAAAAAAAATGATAGCATGAATAGCCTTGAATTATGGATTGCAAATATGGAATTGAAGGTTGGTTACTGGATGTGAAAAAAACTTTGTGATGTCCCCTTTGTTATACAAGGAAAGCTTGCAGTGATGGTAGAAGTATATTGGCTTGCTTAAGAGTATGCTTCTGCCATCTTTATTATATAGAAGTGAGAGTTAGATATACTAGGAGAAAGATAAACACCAGTTAAGTACAGTGAAAATGGATATTTAAGAAGTAGATATGGTAAAATAAAAGAAAGGGTAAAAAATGAACGGAAACCAAGAGTGGTATGGTCAGAGATAGATTGTAAAGACAACTGGGTCACAAAATATGTGAAGAAAGGTTAACTGGATCAAGAGAACAGAAAGACAAAGCTGTGGCTGAATGAAGTTAACAAAATATATCAGACTTGCGAATTCTAAAGAATAAAATGCAATGTGTGGAGCATTAAATTTTGTAAATATCTCACAAGATTAAAAGATACAGAGAAGTATATTGAAAACTCTAGAGCCGGTATTTTTCAAACTTGGCAACTTTAAGATATATGAACTTCAACTCCCAGAAATCCCCAGCCAGATGACTCAGGAATTCTGGGAGTTGAAGTCCACAGATCTTAAAATTGCCAAATTGAAAAACACTGTTCTAACTATTAACTATTGTTCCTTTTAAAAACTGCGCTGCTGCATGTAAGCTGTGATGTAAACCAGCTTTAGCTATATTTGCTTATTTCATCTTACGGCTTTAATTATTTTGCTTTATAATTTCTTACTTCCTTTCTGCACTTTGCATAGCATTCTTTATGCCAAATGAGAATAGGTGACAAGTACGTATGCAATATGCATATGTAAAGTTGACAAGTGAAGGTTAAAAAAAGAAGTTTACTATCGATCTGAGAAGGAGATACAAGAAATTATTCCCTAGAGAGCAATATACGATATTTAAGGGGAGGGGGCAGTCTTAACTCCCTGTCTTTGTCCTTCAGCAGGAGGCTTATCTATATCTTTCAATCCTACATAATGACAGTTAATGTGATTTATGCTTCCAATACTCTCTTGACAAAGAAAATAGCCTAAACAATACATTTTAAGAAATGAAGGTCATTCTTCTCCTTCCTTCTCTTCCATGTTTTGTGCAAAATTGCAGTGAGCCACAGCCATGGCCTCCTTGAATGCCACAAGCAGATTCTTAGTGCTTGTTCCATCATTAATCCCTACTCCAGGAGGTAATATGTCTCAAGCCATATTATTTCTTAATGATGCGTGACTTGATATATCATCTTTAGCTTGCAGTTCATGGGAGAGTTTTCATACACATAATAAAAGTACTTCTTACCCTCCCCTCAACCTGACAATTTCATCCATGTTAAAACAAGCAAAGGATTTTATCAAATGAAAAGCAAATTGGGTTTTAATACTGTGGAGTGAAAACAATTTAGGATGGAGAAATTCAAATTGTGAGTTCATGAAAGATGATATTTAACTCTTGTGGTTTAGCTCCCACCCATGTTTTTTCTATATATTAATTTATGAGCAGGTTACAACTCATCATAGGAAAAAAATTGTGACCAGGTGCTGCTAAGAGACAACTCAGAGACCTCTCCCTTCTAAAGGTTATTTAATTTGTTTAAATTTATGATGGCTGTCCTGGAATAGATGCTAGTCAAAATCAATTTAAATTTGATATTCCTTTCAGAAGTGAATCTGGCTTCCCCATTGACTTTGCTTATTAGGAGGTCGCCAAAGATGATCACATGACCTTGGAACACAGCAACTGTCATCAATATGAACCAGTTGCCAAGCAGCTGAATTTTGATCACATGATCATGGGGAAAACAGTCATAAGTCACTTTTTTTCAGTGCTGTTGTAATTTTGAATGGTCACTAAATGAACCATTGTAAGTTGAGGACTACCTATATAAATATGAGGATGACACCTGATTGATGCAATAAGGAAGTAGAAGTAAGCCATCTTGACCTCCCTTATCTCCATGATACAGGCCAAATATTTCAGTGGTGGAATTCAAATTTTTTTAGTACTGGTTTTGTGGGCGTGGCTTGGTGGGCGTGGTGTGGCTTGGTTGGCGTGGCAGAGGAAGGATACTGCAAAATCTCTATTCCAACCCCACTCCAGGGATTGGATACTGCAAAATCCCCATTCCCTCCCCACTCCTGGGGGAAGGATATTGCAAAAACTCCATTCCCACTCCACTCTGGGGCCAGCCAGAGGTGGTATTTGCCGGTTCTCCAAACTACTCAAAATTTCCGCTACTGGTTCTCCAGAACCTGTCAGAACCTGATGAATAGCACCCCTGATATGTATGAACCCATGCTTGGTCAGATTTGTTTGTCATATTCTTGTTCCATGCAGGGGTTTCATTTCCTGGAATCGACCTCATAAAGGCAAGACACCATGGGGATTGACTACCAGAAAGAGACTGCTTTGGAAAAATATTTTCCAGGGACCACCCTATTTCATGCTGCCAGTTATGCAGCAGGCCTTGGAGATACTCCATGCCAGAAAGATAAGAATTGCTCCAAATACTCCTTGAAATTGAAATGGAACTTCTTGAATGGAATTTCTGGGTTGATCTTTATTACTAGTAGAGTAATGGTACAGAATCTGTTAAAGGATGAAAATCATCTCCCTCTCCAGATCACCAATCATCTCAGAGACAAAGATAAGGTCCAAGGCATGACCAGTAATATAAACTGGGACCAGGGAACAGAGCCGGTGGTTTCCATGAATTCCCAAGCTTTACTGGAGTCAGTCCCTAGGGAAGACAAGTTGAAATCCCTAGCCACCACTAAATATAGCTGTTGGTGTAGTGACAAATAACCCAATGGAAAACATTAGTGGTAGCTTACATTCCACAATTTCATTTCACAATTTCATTTTAAATGTAGCTGTTAAGTTTGAGTATATTCAGCGCATATGAATGTATTTAATTATGTATATAAATAAAATAAATAAATAAATAAATAAATAAATAAATTTGTTTTCCACCGTAAAGTTCTTTTTTTAATGCAGCAGAGTGATGTGAAAAAGAAAACACATACCCTTAAAGTGACCAGACGTCCCGCT